AAATAAAATAAAAAATAAAAGACATCAAACTTTAACCCAAAGGTGGAATTAAAGTGCCGTTACCTGTAGGCCAATGTTTTAGTCACTTTCCTCATCACTGGGCCAAAGCCATGACCCACAACTTAGAGACTGATCTGTTTTGGCTTGCATTGGCAGCCCATGGCTGGCTGGCTCCAAGACAGGGTGTCATGGTGGAAGGGCCTGGTGGAGGAAAACTGCTTGTGTCTTGCTGGGCAGGAGGCAGAGAGGGAAGGACAGAGTCCAAGGGCAGGATGGACCCTTATAGATCACTCTCAGTGACTGTCTCAGTTACTTTTTCTCTCATTGCTGGGACAAATAGCAGTCTCCCAAAATGAAGGAAGGAAAGGTTCATTTAGCTCACAGTCACTGGAGGTTTCAGTCCATCCTCAGCTGGCTTCAAAGCAGAGGGCGCTTGGCACAGAGCAACGTTTCATGGTGGGGGTAACAAAGGGAGGAGTAGCAGCAGCTCAAGCAGCTAGCTAGCTTCTTTTCCCTCCTTACATTGTAATGCAAATTACCTGCCCCAGGGCAGGGGCAGCATGCCTACTCATAATCCCATGGGATCATGAGTTAATCACAAACTCTAGAAGTCCCCACCCCATGACTGCATGAAGCTTTGGGGGACAACTAGATATGAACCACAACAGTGACCCTACCCATGAGCACATAAGACTTTGGGGGACATTCTCAATCTAAACCATAATAGACAGGTAGCTTTTTTTTTTGTTGCTGTTTATTGATTGTCTTTGATTATGGGTCTTTCTGGTCCTCTTAAATTGTATCCTGGAAGGGCTTTTTAGATTTTTCCCTCAGGTATGATTGCTCTGTCTGAAGGCCATATGTTCTTAAGTGCTTTTGTGTTGGATCTGCTATGTGTGAAAAAGAAGATAGAGAGTGAGAGTGTGGACCACACAGACAAGGTGAGAACTGTGAGGGCAAGGGGCTACTTTTCTGCCTGGCCTGGGTCATTGAATTAATCTATTATCCAATTTCAGAGAGTGAGAGAATTTTAAGCATGCTTTTTTCTGGTTCAGTAATCTCT